ATGAATTGTTTCCCAGAGATGGGTTGCGGCTGGAAGGGCATCCGCTGCGTAAAAACTTGCTGGATAACTTGGTGGTTCATTCCGCTGTGGCGACCCCGGATTAATAAAGGGACTAAGCCGACAAAAAAGAAATGAATGAAATATGAATTGATGTATACTTTAAAAAACTTAAATCAAATTGAAATTATTATTGTTTTTGTCAAATAAAATATTTTTCTAGAGTCATCCACCATAACTTTGTGGCTCAAAAATGTCGGTTCAGGCATCATTTTGGCACTGTTACAGTTTTAAAAGTATCGATTTAGCACCGGTAGCGAACTAATAACCCCAACCCAAGTAAATAACGAGTACATTTTCAGTTTTGGGTAAACTATTCCTTTAAATCATTATAAAATACTAAAAAAGACACTAGTTTGTATTCTGAAACAAGAAGTTAGCTCAGCCTTAAATGAACCTACTGAGCCCTAGATTTACCGATCAGAACCAGTGATGAAAACCAAACAGAGAAATCTGAACCAATCCAACACCCCCAGTTATGACAGAACATCGAATATACCCACAACACACTGCTTGGCACAGAGACGTGTGGACAGAAGAGCAAGGAAGTGCTTCTCTGTCTGAGCACAGAATACATAATTCAACCATATGGAGCATTGGCGGCAGTCCAGCTCAAATCTGCTCCGCGTTACAGGACGGGGGTGTTTTGTGGAGGAAGGCTCTGTCTCTAAACAGTGCTGGCGGTCGCTGGAAGTCAAATCACTTTTCATGGTTGAGGCTCGAGTATCAGGTGGATGAAATTGGTTATGAAATTAAAGGGACGGAGCTCTAAATAAGGCGCTGCTAATCTCTCAAAGGTCTTTCCAGAAGAATAAAACAAGGTAACCCAATAATACTCAAACATCTCTTTGTAGATCTATAGAAGACGATGATATCGAACCAACAAAGGATTGAGGGCTTTGCAAGCTGATGTGCTCCATTATTCCTTATTCTGGTGGAGTCTTTCTATATCTAATGAAGCAGCGAGTACATTCAGAGCAAAAGAAAGCAACAAAAGGCAGAAAAACTGGCAAATCTTAATGATTCAGACAGAAGCTGCTATAGTGACATTAGCTCAGACTGATCTTTATAAACACATAAAGCTGCCTGTGACAGCAAAACAGCCAACTAAAGCAGATGGACCCTGAAAGAGCTTTTTTTTTCATAAAGACCAAAAGAGCTAAAGATTATCGCAAGCATAATGCATATGCCATCTCTTTGTGTTTGAATAAGCATCACTGTGGTGGTGATCGTGAAATTCTTCCGCATCATGAACTTGAAATCTGTTAAACACAAAATGTAATGCCAATCTATTCTCTGATAGGTTTGAATCCGCTGAGATTTGTTTAAGAGGGTACAGATCTGATGCATTTAAATTCTATAATCCTTTGGTTAATGACTGCATTTTACATAGAAACACTGAATGGAATCACAAAGGTGACAAGAATCGGGCATTGTTAGAGGCCTGCTAAGAGAGATAGGCCAGATTGCGGCCACTTGGGTCGATAAGAGCCAATCTCAGGTACATCCACAGTGAGCCTTTACTCCACTCACCTGTTTTAAGATAAATGGGGAGCCTGTTAAACAAGTTCGGGGATGATTTTCAATCCAGGTCATGTGAAAATTAAAAAAAGAAAACGCTTAGCGCGGCTTAAAATGGCTGATGCTTTGATGAAAAGGACAAAATTTATGTTGCAACATAAATATTTCAAAATAAAAGAAATTAAGCAGCACTGGGATTTCTGGTTTTAAATGCACAGTACTGCACTGCATTTAAAATCAGCTGCATTTGTTACAGGAAATCTGGAAATACGTAATGATGCCATGTTCATATCGATAAAAAAAACAAATTGCACAGTGATAAATATTTTAGAATGATGTTTGAGACCATGTTGTTTTATCTTTTAAAGCAACTGAGGAAAAAAAGCTATAATAATGGAACACATAACTTGTCTTTCATTGACAATACACTTGTTTTGTTCATGTTCATGTTTAAATCTGCAAAATAAACTACACAAAGTATTTAAAATCTATTTGAAATTACTGCCTAATGTTTGACCATATTTCGAAAGTTTTAAATAATGAAAATAACGACTATTTAAATCAATGAAACACTACTACAAGGCATTTAACAAAATAAATAAATAAATAAATAATAAATAAATAAACAAACATAATCTTGTTGCACTACTACACTTGATTTTGGTTTTATTGTCAAAAAAAAAACAGAACACGTGTTAAATCAGAATCTGAAATATTTTAAGGCATGCTTCAAAAAATAAACATGATTTAGTATTCAAAAATGTTTTGTTTTAATTTTTTTTAACAAATTGGTCTTAAACTGAATATTTTTCAGATTTTCATAGTATGTGTATTAATTCTGGTACTTTTACCATAAACCGACATATCTACTATTTGGTATAGGTTGATATTTTAGAAATTATGGGATGTATTGACAAAAAATCCATGAAGTCTGTTAACTAGCGACATTAGCAGTTAAGAAATGCAATGCAAAACTTTTTTTTCTTGGTGGGGCAGTTAAGGAGTTAACCTATTAAAGTCCTAAATATTAAAGTATTAAAGGATTCCACCCTGTACATGCAGAGGTGTAAACGCAAAAGATTAGTATCATTTTAAAAGAAAACCCTTTGAATTTTCAAAAAACACTGTTGAAAGTGATAATAATTATTGTATTTGTTGTCTGTTCTATAATAAATCCCTCAAAAAAGAAGTGTTTTTTCTGTAAACTCAAATTTGAAAGGATACCTTTTAGGTTTTGTGTTGTTGCTGTAATTCATTTTGTTGGTTCCTGCTCATGTCAGTAATCATAGTAAAAAAGAAAAATGTCTCTATCATAATCTATGCAAAAGGTATTCTACTCCAACTGATGAGAGAACTGAATCACTTGGGGGGTATTAAGACGGTCCGGACCTTTAAAATGTAAAGAATGAAGAAGTAAATGACATCACGGACCAAGAACCAGGTCTCAGAGTTTAGGAGGTCAACTTATCTTTTTTGTATTGTAATTACGTTGTTATCTTTTTGAAATGTCATGTTTTTCTACGTTCATAAAGCTCAAACAGTCTGCCAAAGAGAAATAGAAATGCAGCTTATAAATGCAGTGTACAGTTTTTCAACAGCTAAAAGCGTTTGCCAAATCCATAAATGTATATATACCCCAGAGTGTAGTTAAGAACCTGACATGCAACATTTTATTGTTATTATTTATCATTTTATTTTGGGTCAACAAAGCCACATTTTTTTCCACTGCATATCAAATTCATAAGACGTTTTAATCTACATTCCAGAACTCCACAGAATGTTAAAGCATTACAGACATCTTCATAGATGCTATATGAGAAACTGCCACAACAAATAAAATACATGTCAGGGTTAACCAGCACTTCGGACTGAATTTAGCATTCATTTAAGTTGAACATATATAATCAAATGCCCTAGCACTGAAAAATGTCTATAAATGGTTATTCCTAACCGGCACTAAGAAAAAAAAGACTGGAAAATCATCTCGGCATCATTCTATATGCATCAGCCTCTAAAATATTCTTGCCACATTCAAAATCAACAGAGCTGAATGAGGGGAATTATTATGTAATAAAGCATCAATCTTTGTTAACACTTTCCAGAAATGATGTCACAGATCTGAGCTGAGAGTGCATATCTGCAGCCAGACTCTTCTCAAAATGTTTACCAAAGCTAGGAGAAAAAAACATTCTGGGTAGCACACTTGGGAAATCAGTCAATATTCAATAAATATGCATGAGGACTACATGCAGAAGCGGCTGAGAGTAATTCCTCTAAATCAAGCCCTTGATCTCACTGAGAGATTAGGACACTTCTGCAACCATTTCACTGCTCCTATCTTGTCCTTGGTGACAAATATTGATGACGGTGGTGTTGTTGTACACAGCCTAACATGTGCTGACAGAATTCATAAAAAACTTGTTTAAAAAAAAGATATATCAGATGTGAAATTTGAGTCAATACTAATTTAATATGCATTATTAAAAACTCAATTTTAAGCTCAAAGAGTGAAATCTAGGCTAGTACTAGAGTGTCTCATTCTAAAAATCTGAGGGTTTACTTTAATCTTGGAACCAAATGCAAGCAATATTTATTTGAACCTAAAATGAAACGTTGAGACCTGAAGTTCAAGCACAACATCAACAACAATGGTCAAAAATAAGTCTAATTAAATAGTAATAGTAATTAAATAGTAATTACACAGGAAAGTTGACTTCTGTACTTTAATAAATAACTAATTATATAAGAATTCAGACTGATGCTTTTTAGCTTCAGCTTTAAACCCACCACTCCACATTTGATGATGATGACGATAATAATGAGATGCATTAAATGTTTGATCTTCATCATTAGTTAAATGAATGCAAGAGAAAGTAAACAATGGCACATTTCTCACAAAGAAAGCTTAGTCATGGTAGACAACATATTTAATTGAATATGCAAATTAGGGATACGTCTCGCTGGCTAACTTGAAACAACTCTATTATGGTTGGAATGATAATTTCCAACAGGACAGAAGCAGTGTTAAAGTTATTGCTGAAAATAAAACTAACTATACTAATGCTAAGACAATAAAACTTTTTTAAAAAATTACCAAAAGAACAAAAACCTTTAGATTAGTGTAAACATAAAAATTCCAAATAAATAAAAACACAAAAATTTAGTTAAAAAGTTCAAAATAACAATTAAAATGGAACTAACTTATCGAAAACTATAATATCCTTCAACAAAAGTTGACTAAGATCAGCATTGCTACCTCTAGTGAGAGGTCTGTAAACTGACTTTCCAGAAAGTCATCATCTACTAAATATGGTAACTACCTTGACTTCATTCTGGAAGATTGTCAGGAGGAGAATATTTACAGTTCTGTGGAGTATTCACCAACAGCGGTCAGATGTTAATGGTGCGGTGAATGCTCTTACCTTACGACCATCGCTGGCGTGGCAGTTGACGTTTAACGGCGTGAGCAGTGCCATGAGCTTCTCTTCATTTCCGCTCCTGAAGCAAAGCAGCAGTTTTTTAAAGAACAGGAGGGAACCGTAAAACAGAACAGGCTAACGCAGTGAATTTCACAGAGAAGGCGAGGGGTGAAGAGGAGTGAAGGATAAAAGGAGAGATGAGGAATAAAAGTCAGGGGAGAAGGAGCATGCAAGATAAACAGTATCAATCAGTTGTTACCTTCATGGAACATAAAGAAGAAACCCACAGATTGCACATTCAAGATTAATATATCACATACCTAGGAGAGGATACCCTATATAAAGTTCCTGCTGTAATTGGACTGAACCATGGCCTGGAGTTTCAGCCTGCAGCCTGTAGAGCAGTGGTCTCAAACTCAATTCTGGGAGGGCTGCAGCTCTGCACAGTTTATCTCCAACCATCTCCATCCCATACCTGCTTAATAGTCTCTAGTAGTCCTGAACAGCTGGATTAGTTTGATTAGCTGTGTTTGGTTAGGTTTGGAGCATATCTCTGCAGAGCTGCGGCCCTCAAGGAATCGAGTTTTAGGGCTATGATGTAAAGGTTTGACTCATCAGCAACTGCCAACAAATCCTTCACATCTTGCCAGCACCTCCAACTATGACAGTGCTGGACTTGCCAGGCCTGTCACTGGTCTAGCCAAAGCATCATGCCAACCAGGGCCTGAGATTGGACTGATTCCACTCAAATCAAAAGCTGAGGCAAGAAGACTTATTAGTTTCTGAACAATGATGTCTCGTTCCTGTTCTGGAACGTGCTATGGAAAATGTCGGGGTCTTGCAGGCTTTTGTAGAGAAGATTTCCTACAGGTCAACCAATTGCCAAACCCTAACAAATTAGTAGAGTTTGCTCCTCCCTGGTTCCTCTAGTCTCCTCCTGCCAGTAAGTACAGATAACTGGCTTCAGTGAACAACAGAAGGTCCTTCATTTAAATGCACACTCTGCCACCAGCAGAGGGAAATAAGACTGGCTAAGAGATTACAACTGGGAAGACGGGCTGAGTATTGGGAGAGTGTCATCAATCTTTTTCATGCTCTTGTAGATGCATCCCAGGCTTCAGGAGATTACCACTAAAAGCAGCACAGGCCAAGCAAGACTTCCAAGTCTATTCGATTCGCCAATCTTCCATTCCACAAAACTCAAACAAGTCTCAATACACAGGGTTACTCTTGCCATCTTTGGGAGGGGTTGGGTGGACAAGATCAACTTAATTCCACAGCAATGAAGCCCCCTGTGATCATATGTGTTCCTAACGATCTTTCGTCCTGACGTTGGGGAGAATTACAAGGCCTTTGTAGTTCCTTTCTCTCTTGATCATTAAAACAACAGGAGTCCTGATTTGTATCCATGCTCCAGGCTATGCCTGAAGGCAGGGGTATGAAAAGGGGGGGGGCAATGCCAATGGAGATGTAGACCAGAGCATAAGAAGGAACGTCTTTTCTCTGTGATGATGGTGAAGACTGCTGGGATTGCCTGCGCGTCACGTGTTTCCAAAGGTTGTTTATCCATTCCTATATGTCTCATGGTAACCATACAGTGTTTGGTTTAATGGAGTTGCCCAGGAAAACAGGTAGGAAGTGAATTTCTGTGTTTATGTCAAATCCTCCTTCTCTGGTTTTACCTGAAGCACTCAGAAACCAATTAAAACTGAATTCGCCGCATGGAATAAAGTATTCTGCCCATGGCATGCAGCTAAATTGAAACTCTCGGGCTGTCCTCTGTGCAGGAAGCGGACTCCTTCAGGCCATCACATGTAAACATGAAAATGCATCTACTGAGTCAGACATTCCCGGCCCTGACGGCACCTTCTCTGACACATGCCTTAATTCACGTCCATGTGCACAGACAAAAGAAAAACAGTGACTATGGAAACGGTAGAAGAGAGGGAGGGAAAGAACGGAATCATGGGAGAGCGGGGAATGAGATGTAGAAGGGCTGAGAAGACATGTACTCACCTCGCAGCTTCCAAGAGTTCGTCCTTCTTGTATTCTCCTAAGTGATTACAAAAAATCATGGTGTCAGGGGCAGACAGGATGAAGGACGTACAGCAGCAGCAAGAAGCCAGAGTAACTAAGGAGCAGTGGACCGCCGGCAGCCCCACACAGACAAGCTCATGCACACACGCGCACAGGCATCAGTGCATCAATGCTGCCTTGCTTTTCTCTCGTTCTCTGCCTGTCTCTCTCTTCTGGTGGTGGTGTTGCCGAGCACCAACCCCTCTCGCCTGATGAAACCGTGACGTCGAGCTGATTGTGGACGCAACATCGGCAGTGTCTTAGATACGACGGACGAACTGACGCATATCCCTGTTCACTCCACAAATTAAATGGCTCTCTTTCTCAGGCGGACAGACAGCACACACATATACAAATACACACACCCCTCCCCTTGTATACAGTGAGCCTGATGCTTTCCCTCCTCTGTCTATTTTATGTTTGCATAGGAGGAGCCGTTGCCGTGATAACACAAGATAAGGGGAAAGGGGGGGGAAATATGTAATAAACAAATGCTGCCCGCCTCGCTCTCGCCCCCCTACCCACAACACCCGGCCTCTCAGCCAATCAGAGAGACTCAACTAATTCAGCTGTGATTCCTCCCCACCCCCACATGTGCTCGCTCTCTTTCTCTCTCTCGTTCTACCGAGGCTTGTGGAGAAGTGAGGAATAAAGGGGGAGGATGCAAAAAGACAGGGCAAAGAGGGAGGGAGCAGAAAAAAAGGCATGTGTAAATTCTGTAGAGGTGGATATCATGACATATGGGCTGCATGCACAGGGGGTGTTTGAACAAAAATATGGCTAAAAGAAAATGCTGTGAGACTGGCTTGTTTGCCGTTTTGTAGCAGTCGCTAACAAAAGACTGTGAATCACAGAGTGGGGAAGGATGGCAATAAAGCAGAAAGCAGCATGTCTGGAAGACTCATTACATCCCTGTGTGCTCCGTCAGGCCATCGGTTGTGTGTTCTCACTGAGAGAGCTCGGCCAACCTCAGAGCCTGACAATCCCCCCACTGAGAGATACTAGTGGAGCACAGTGCACAAAAACAAACACATTTTGGCTTTAAAAACGGTCTGGCCAATAATTGCAGGACATTAATATTTTTACTGGCCATGAAACTGTATTTCACTTACATAAATAAACATAAACATTTCAGTCTACATGACAATGGATTATTTAGTTTGCTTTGCTTGTATATTAATGAAAAATTGATTTACTGCTTTAAGGTTTACCATTTTCTTTTCGGTTTCAAAGTTAAACAAGATTTAAGCGCTTAAATACTTTTCACACACTAATGCTAAACTAACATATAAGATAAAATATGTATTTTTCTAGTTAAATAGGTGATATTTTGTACTGTTGTTACAACAAAGAGAGAAAAAGTAAAAAGAAGGCCTGTTCTTGTCTTTTAACTGTGGGAATCCATTCAATAAAATGATTGAATTCAATATTTCAACTTATTAACTTGAACATCCACTAGTTTTCTTATAAAAATTCCTTAAACTTATCATTCAGAAATACTGCTTCAGTCTGAGTTGCTTTCTTTTATTTAACACACAAGAAGCTACTTCAAAGTATGAATGGTTACTTCAAAGAATGTTGGAAATCTGCTGCCACTGACTTATTTAGCATTTTCCTTCTTACTGTGAATGGCAATACTGGGCATGGGCTGGTATAAGCTTCTGACCATATGATAACCTTGGATAAAAATACCATGGTTTCATGGTATTGTCATTACTGCACTAAAATAGGATCTTTTTAAATGTCTGGGTAAAAAAACAAAACACTTTCCCCTATTAAACAAAATACATTTTATTTTAGAAAACATGTATAATATTTTGCAACAGTACACACGTCAGGCTAAATAATTAAAGTGAATTACTGACTTCTGCTGTCTTCATTAGGTTTCAATAACACTTGACAAAACGTTTGGAAAAAAAACTCAGGAATGATATAACAGAACATTTTTGTGGTTTGAAAGCCTTGACTTTTCCAAACCACGTTAAACCTTGAAACTGGTTATCATCCCATGCCTAGTCAATACCTACTGGTTTCCGATATTTTTCAATACTTTTATTCTGTGTTCAACACAAGAAAAGCTCATTTCTGTTTAGCATCACTTAAGGGTGAGCAAAAGGTGAGTAAAGTTATATTTTATGGTGAACTATCCCTATAACCAAGAGTGATGAATAGTTGTTTACTGTTCCACAATGCCAATGTATTATTGTTACCAAATATATATTCCTTGCTAAAAAGTTGAATAAATTGTTAAATATAATTTTTGTTTGACTTTAAAAATGCAATTTAGGGCTGCACAATATTGGAAAAATCTGGCATTTTGATATTTTGTTTTTCAGTAATATGGACAAATTGAGGAATATAAACAAAAACAATGTCCCAATGTATTTCCTGCTTTACATTTTCCATTTCTAGCTTCTGAGAATCCAAAAAGAGCCACATATTGATAAATAGTGTTATGATAGCTGTTTTAAAATCAAGATCAGATTGAATTGCCTTTTGTTGCAGTTTAGTTTGTAATAGTACAGTAATAGTTTGATAACCAGCAGGAAATGTTCATGGGCCAATGATATGACCACTTTGAAATGGTCTATATACCAGATGGCATGAATAGCCATCTGAAAGAAAAGAAATCATTCATTTAGATTGACTGGGGTGATTTTGTAAAGATGTAAATAATGTATAAAGAAAAATAAACAAATAGTAAGCAAAAAATAATAATTACAATAGAAGACAAAAGGGACAATAATTAATAATAAACCATAAAAATAAGTATTCTGGAAATTCAATGCAGAAATTGAATAATTAGATGTCAAATGTAAAACAATACTGCAGTGTAAAACAAAATAATTTTACGTTTTGTTTTTTTTTCAGCAGCTGGGGTGTTGGGAAAAAAACGTAAAATAACAGCCATTAAATTATACAAATCTACCATAAAATAATGGACATTAAATTACAGAAATGTCCTTAAATGTACATTTCTGGTAAATTTCTGTCATTTAGCGTGTTCATTTAGAGTTAATTTCTGTAATTTAACAGCCATTATTTTACAATTTTACTAATACATTTTTTAGTTAAATTATTCTTCATTAAAATTGCAAATGTTGTACTTTTTGTGTACAAATGATCTTGAAATGCCTTTAAAACACATGCCAATGATAAACTTTCACAATAGTTATAATTTGGTGGTGCTGATCAATGATAACCTCAACTCAACTCAATGTGACTATAGCAGACAAACATATTAAAATATTGATGTTGAAACAATAGATTGTGCAGACCTAATGCAATGTTAAATTTCTTAATAAAATACTTTTTTTTTTTTTAAATTGCATGTAATTCTTGAATAATGTTAACTCTGGACCCTTCATGCTCAAATAACAGGGTTTTCCACCTCAAATAATAAAAAAAAAAGTTATAAAGATGCTCATGCTGTCTGACTGATGATCAATTCCAAAGCCCAGAGATAGACTAAATGACCCGAGTTATAGAGTGCGTTTAATGGATATCATAAATTTCACTGTGCATTACAATCTAAAACACAGAGTGAGAAATGGAAACGGCAACACCTGATGACGGCAAAATCATCCTGGAATGAAATCTGGTCACGTCCCTTTTTGGTATTCTACAAGTTTTTCTTGCTTAGTCAGTATTAAGCCACTGAATGTCCCCAGGACAAATCACGTCCAGAACGTTAAGTGACATTATTGACAGGAAGGAGAGCTTTACGGAAAAAAAGAGAAGAGAGGTATAGAAGAAAACACCACAGATGGTGAAGCAGAAAATATCACGACTTCAGAGACTATTAATGAGCTGCCTGCCAAGTTTAGCAATCTTTCATAACAGCATCAGAAAGACCATTAGTCTAGTTGTAGAGCTGCAGTCGGACGTCAGATGCTCTCTCTGTATGAAAACCAAGCATGTTTACCCAAACACTATCCAGGGAAGATTTACCTATAAAACATATCTAGATACAGTTGAAGTCAGAATTATAAGCCATTCTGTATATTTTTTCCCAATTTCTGTTTAACAGAGAGACAATGTTTTCCGACACATTTATAAATATAATAGTTTTAATACAGGGTTTCTGCACATTTCAGCAAGTTAAATTTACGACTCAAGACATTAAGACCAATAAAAATTAAATTTTATACTCATACAGGACAAAACGCTAAGAAGTTTTTCCCAAATGGCCCAGCTGGAAAGTATTTGGCCCATCAAACTATTTAAAAAAAATTTAATAAACATATTAATGCAATAATAATAAATTAATAATAAAAAATAATAATATTTTAGTTTATTCTGAGCAAAAATATTTTAAATATTTTGTCTAATCAAGCAAGCTCTAGTTGTATACATACCCTTTTTTTCTCTCAACATAACCTTTCTTTAAAAAAAAATTAATACTGTGTTAAAAAATAACAGTCTGCTTAGGTCAGTGGTAAATACAGAGAGGACTTTTTAACAAATGTTATTGAAGGTAAATAATTAAACCATTATGGTAAAAAGAGTTAAGGATGACATTTTTAAATGAAATTTTTTTTTTTTTTTTTGAGATAGATTGGGGTAGCTATACATGGACATGAGAAAAGTAAGACCTGTTTAAACAATATTTAAGATCTAAAACAAAATATTTAAGTAAATTTGAGACTTTACCGCATTTTAAAATTTAGTTTTTGAGATTGAAGACTTAAGATTTTTTAAGACCCCCATGAACCACCAACTTCTAATGACTTATTTCTTTTATTTACTAAATATTTGTCAAGGTACTGGTATACAGATTAAAGTGACATTTAAAGGCTTAACTAGGTTAATTAGATTAGGCAAGTTAGAATAGGCAAGTTAGGGCAATTAAGTCATTGTATGTTTGTTTGGTTAAAAATACTGACCTTAAAATTTATTTATTTATTTTTTATTCTAGTTTAAATAAAATAATTAAGACTTTCTCCAGAAGAAAAAAATATGAGAAATACTATAAAA